AATGCATTAAAACACTAATCCAAGTGTGACTCAAGAGGATCATGCCATAGGCAGCCACAAAATATGTAGTATTTTGTTCTGTTTCTGTAGAAGCTTCACTTACTTAACGTACAAACCCAAACTTTGACACACAAGCACCCATTCAGCATGTTTTCTCTAGAGAACAACTTAAAGAGAGTGTCGTCAATGTCAGAATCCCTTTGCCTCCTCATTACTCTGGTATTTTGCACAGAAGGAGACATGGTTCTCACAAAAGACCATGTAACAAAAAAATAAAAGAAAGGATCTGGGCCCTATAGATGGAACCTGAGAGAAGAACTCTTCTCTACCACAAAATGACTTTTCTCCCTGAACCAGCTTCCCCAGCCTCCTGATGCAGGTTTTCCCGTATGCTCCCCAGCCCCCGTTCTTATGCCATTTATCTTTGCAATGAGCTCTTTCTGTGGCCTCACATCGGTATTATATGTGCCACGATACACACACGTAAACAATATCAGAGAACATCATCTCGACCTTTGGGCTCCCTCACACTAATAGCCTTCCTTTTCCCCCCAGCAGAAGTGTCATGGAGATGAATACCATGGTTTCCTCCAACAAGCTGGAAGCTCTCTGAGGACCAAACCCATGGTTAGGAGTCACCCCCTCTGTAACTCACCATGCCCCTTCAGTGTCAAGGGGAATACTGCCATACAGGCACCCTAGTTCAATATGAAGGCTGATCAACAAAGAGGACCAAAAGGCCCGGGAACTCCACAGAAAGGAGGAGGAGAATACATAAGGAAAGGTGGAGGGAGAGAAGATGGGAGAGGGGAAGAACTTAAGTGAATCCTCTGTGGCCTCGGTGGCTTTCTTATATCCTGCCTTAGTCACTCTTTTCATCTTTGACCCTGTCACTGATCATTGATATTTGCCCTTTGATCTGTTTCTCCATCTCAGCCCACTGAGTGTGAAGCATTGCTATTTGTCAGATAGTCTAAGCACAAGAACCCATGCAAGAAAGTTGTCAAGGAAACAGAACCTCTTTGGTATAAATACTGGTGGGTGAAACCACTGGTGGAGTAGAACGCAGACAGCCTCCCCTCCCCCTCCTTTAGACAGAGCTGGCTGACTTCAAAGTTGCGGGAGTGGAAAAGAGTAGGTCTCTCCAAAGACCTAAATTGATATCTTATGGCGATCCAGCAGGGAAAGAGGAATTTGCAGTTCTGATTAGCTGCTCAACTCCCACTGAGCCCAGAGGTGGCAGTGAAGGCCAAAAAGAAGGCTACAGGAGGGTGGTGGAAGTGCCATAAATTGTGGGAGATGCCTGAAACCACAGTGCTAGGATGTGGCACCAAGGACAGGCTCTGTGAACCTTGAGATACTAGCCTGCTGGGGACCTAGGGATCCCTGGGAATGTCCACGGCCTTAAGCTCTGACTAGGGCTGTTCTGACCTCCCTTGTTCTCTATACTTCCTCCCAGATCCACATACACTTTACAGAAGATTCTTAGGATCAAGCATCCACATCCCAGTGCTGTTTAGGGAAAACTGTGCCCTTCACCCCTGCCCTCAGAGGACACGATTACATTCAAATGATCATCTCAGCCATCTCCCTGCATCCAACCCACACCCAGAGCACCATTTTTAGCCTTTTCCCTTCTCTAGACCTTGGTAGTACCAGTTCTAAAAGGAGAGAGAGTTTTCCTTCTCTCCCTCCAACCTCCAATATTTCTGGAAAGGGTAAAAATAACATAAAATTTGCGTGGAAGAACTCCTTGGAGAAACTCTTTTGAGAAGTACTCGGTTCCAGTAGCCCTGCTAGTCAGACTTGCATCCTCAGGTTAGTCCCAGCCTCACACTTGGACAGTGTGGTCCCAGATCTCACACTTGAAGAGAGAGAAGGAACAGCAATCCAGGACAAGGTGGCATTTCCCCTTTTCAACCACATCCTTACATCCTCTGCACAAATGCTCCTTGCTCCCATAATGAGCTGTCCCTCATTAGGAGCCCCATCCTATACCTTTGCTTACCCCATTGACACAGCACATCTCACACTCACTCATCCTGCTAGGCCCGGCAGACTCACAGCCTTCCCAGTCACACAGCCAACAGGACTCTTCTCCCCACTCTTACGGACTTGCCACATGCAACATCACTTAACGCTTTACCTCATTCTGCATTTTCTCATTAACCAGTTTTCGGCAGCCCTACAGCATCTAGAAGAGTGTTGTACACATAAGTAAATATTTGTTTTAAGGTTTGATTTTTTTCAACTTCATTGTTCAGCAAAACCAAGTGACTCCAGTATCCAGGTAACCAAGCATGCCCCTCAGAATGAGAATCCAGACTCTCCATGTCCTCTGCTATATGCATCAGCATAGCCTCTTCCTACTCTCCCAAACACACTATTCCTGCTGTGGCCTAAAACATTTTTTCCAGTTGCCCAAACTCTCAAAGCTGCTCTGCCCCATCAACCCCGTCTCCTACTCATCCAGGTCTAGTCAGGGCCTCGTGCTCTTACATCACTCAGCCCTATTTCCATCACCAGTGCCTCTTGAATTTCCTGTAGTACACAAATAAGAAGTAACTTTAAAAAGCAGTATCACCAGCTTTGTAACAAACACTCTGGTACATGCACATCTATCACCATCTTTTCCCAGGTCACACTCTGCACCAGGAATCTGCCTCCTGGATTAGGACTCTAGGATCTCCTGGCTGCCTTGAACCTCTACCCAAAATTTCTGGTCCCCTAACAGCCACTAGGTTTCCTGGCAAGAAGCTGGTATCGTTTCTCCCTGTAAGGAGAGACCCTAAAGACAAACTCTACCCTCCTCCCAGAGGTTAAACAAGCAGGCCCACCTCGCTTTACCACCCAGCCTCCCCAAGAGCCAGCCTACTTGCTACCTGCTAGGCCAGTATTCAAATCCTGGTTCCACTCACTGGGGGACCTTGGCAATTTAGTAAAATTCAGTCAGCATTTACTGAATATGCAAGTGCCCCCTCTCTTTCTAAAGGATTGGGGTTCTCATAGCAAGGTCCCCAGACCAACAACATCAGCATCACCTGGGAACTTGTGAGAAGTGTAAATTCTTGGGCCCACTTTAGACCTGCTGAATCAGAAACGCTGAAGGTAGGGCAAACAACTTGTGTTTTAACAAATCCTCCAAATAATTCTGATGCATGCTCAAGTTTGAGGACCACTGACTTAGGCTCTGGGGATATAAAAAAATGAAAAACCCATAATCTAAACAATCAGTTCTTAGCCCTGGCTGCACTTAAAATAAGCTTGGGAGCTTTTAAAATAATACCAGTCTGGACCCCATCCCAGATCAATTTCATTAGAACTTCTAGGACTGGGGAAGTCATCATATAATGCAATATACTGAGTGCAAAGACTGAACAAGGTACACAGGCAGCTAAGAAGGGATCCTGCAGTAAGGAGATCAAGACAAGCAGCTGCACCATCTGTGCCTCCATTTTCTCATCTGTAGAATGGGGTGTGTAACATTCCCATTGAAGGACTATTGAGAATTACATGAAATAATATATGGCAATGCCTGGTATATAGTAGATGCTCAGTATTTATCAGTTCCCTCCTTTACCTAGACTGGTCCCCTGGCTGAATCGGAGTTGAGCAGCTGAGCCACTATGTTTAGAATGACCCCTATACTTCCCCTCATTAAGGATCCCTCCCCATCAAGAAAAAAACTTCATGACTATTCATTGTTTGGGGCAAGAGTTCTCTTCAGCAGCCATCAGCACAATCCCAGAGTCTTGATTCACTGTCCTTAAAAACAGGCTGGTTCCTTCAGAACCAGATTTTCCCTAAAAGGCCGCTCACAGTGCAGACCCCAGATCTCTAACACCCCCACATGCCTATGTTTTTTAATTTTATTTTTCCATAAGTTATTGGGTACAGGTGGTACTTGGTTACATGTGTAAGTTCTTTAGTGGTGGTTTGTGAGATCCTGGTGCACCCATCACCCAAGCAGTATACACTGCACCACATGTGTTGTCTTTTATCCCTCACCACATTCCCACTCTTCCCCCAAGTCTGCAAAGTCCATTGTATCATTCTTATGCCTTTGCATCCTCATAGCTTAGCTCCCACATATCAGTGAGAATATACAGTGTTTGGTTTTCTATTCCTGAGTTGCTTCACTTAGAATAATAGTCTCCAATCTTATCCAGGTCATTGCAAATGCTGTTAATTCATTCCTTTTTATGTCTGAGTAGTATTCTATAGTGTATATATATATACCACCGTTTCTTTATGCACTCTTCAACTGATGGGCATTTGGGTTGGTTCCACAATTTTGCAATTGTGAATTGTGCTGCTATAAACGTGCATGTACAAGTATCTTTTTCAAATAATGACCTCTTTTCCTTCAGGTAGATACCCAGTAGTAGGATTACTGGATCAAATGGTAGTTCTACTTTTAGTTTTTTAAGGAATCTCCACACTGTTTTCCATACTGGCTGTACTAGTTTACATTCCCACTAGCAGTGTAGAAGTGTCCCCTGATTGCCACATCCACACCAACGTCTACTGTTTTTTGATTTTTTTTTTTTTTAATTATGGCCATTCCCGCAGGAATAAGGTGATATCACATTGTGGTTTTGATGTGCATTTCCCTGATCCCTAGTGATGTTGAGCATTTTTCATATGTTTGGTGGCCATTTGTATATATTCTTTTAAGAATTGTCTATTCATGTCCTTAACCCACTTTTTGATGGGACTGTTTATTTTTTCTTACTGATTTGTCTGAGTTCATTGCAGATTCTGGATATTTGTCAGATGTATAGATTGTGAAGATTTTCTCCCACTCTGCGGGTTGTCTGTTTACTCTGCTGACTGTTCCTTTGGCCATGCAAAAACTCTTTAGTTTAATTAGGTCCCAGCTATTTATCTGTGTTGTTATTGCATTTGCTTTTGTGTTTTTGGTTATAAAACCCTTGCCTAAACCAATGTCTAGAAGGGTTTTTTCAATGTTGTCTTCTAGAATTTTTATAGTTTCGGGTCCTAGGTTTAAGTCCTTAATCCATCTTGAGTTGATTTTTGTATAAGGTGAGAGATGAGGATCCAGTTTTGTTCTCCTACATGTGCTAGCCAATTATCGCAGCACCATTTGTTTACATGGGTCTCCCTTCCCTACTTTATGTTTTTGTTTGCTTTGTCAAAGATCAGTTGGCTGTAAGTATTTGTGTTTATTTCTGGGTTCTCTATTCTGTTCCATTGGTCTATGTGCCCATTTTTACACCAGCACCATGCTGTTTTGGTGACTATGGCCTTATAGCGTAGTTTGAAATCAGGTAATGTGATGCCTCCAGATTTCTTCTTTTTGCTTGGTCTTGCTTTGGCCATGCAGGCTCTTTTAGCTCCAAATGGATTTTAGAATTGCTTTTTCTAACTGTGTGAAGAATGGTATTTTGATGGGGATTGTGTTGAATTTGTAGCTTGCTTTTGGCAGTATGGTCATTTTCACAATATTGATTCTACCCATCCTTGAACATGGGATGTGTTTCCATTTATTTGTGTCATCTACGATTTCTTTCAGCAGTCAAAGAATACCTATTTAAAGCAATTTAATAAAGGCCACTTGAGTTACACTAGGAATATATTGTCCTCTTCCGGCTGCCCTCAAACTCTTTTTGCCTGTGATTCCAGGCAAGCAGACAGGCTCAGGGTGAGATCTCTGGACATCAGGCAGCCTTCCCTAAAGCAGAATCTGTCAGTATTCAATCTTCTTCTCCAGGAACATGTGAATAATAGGGGACTAGGCAATAGCCCCAGATTCCTCGAGCCCCTCCCTCCCCATAAGGCACAGGAGTGAATCTGCAATCACAGGCAGTGCCCTGGGCAGGCCCTCCGCAATGCCACAGATCCTGTCCCTGTGGCCTCCTGAACTGAATGCAGAAATGAGGGCTGTCCTTGTTAGCTGCCTTCAGGGCTCTATCCTTATCCTAGCAGACACTAAACGTGTTTGCACTTCCTGAAAATAGCCTCAACTGGTCATTCTAAAATTAAAAAACAAGCAAACTGTGTCATTACTTTATAGACAAACCTTGTGTTGTTTTTTTTGAGTGGGGGAGAGGAAGATTGTTGTTTTGTTTTTTAAACTAAAATACTGTCACTCAGCTTGCCCAGATTTGATTCCCTCTTCCCCAGATTTTCCCAAACAGAGTTGGGCTGTTTCCAAAAACCAAATTAGCATTCAAAACAGTTCTGAAGTTTTATCACCATTAATGGTATGTTTTTTTTTTAATTTTTAAATTTAAAAAATAAAAAATAACCCCGCACCAACAGATTGATCAGCTGTTCCCAGAATGCAAATCCACAGTGGCAGCATTCCTGGCATGAGCTCCCTCAGGGGCCTTCTGTGAGGAGAGTACCTCTCATTTGGAAGTGGTCAGCGACGCCATCAGTCATGCTATCACCTACTAGGTGTCTCAGAAATCAAATTCCCACACCAAATAAGAGAGTGGGAAAGGGGACAGAGAGGAAGACAGATTTGACTTCAGAGAAAAGACCATAAATGTCCCAGCAGCAGGAACTAGAACAACTCCCAAAGACACAGGGGCTTCCAGGGGACAATTTGTGTCTTCAGAGGCCAAGGTCTGGCCTAGTCCCCTGCCTCTGACCCACAAAACTCTCATGGAAGAACTTGGAATGTGAGACAGAAGCAAAAATCCCTGCCAAAGCAGTCATGGAAGAGCAGGAAAAATGAAGGTGCCACAAAGCTTTTCCCCAATTCACTGAGTTACAAGGACTTGGTTCCTTCCCAGACACAACAAAGTCACTTTCTCCTGGCCTCATTGTCCTCCTCTTCCTTCCCCAAATTCTGACATGTGTAAAAGAAGACCTCTTCCCAGGCTGGCCAGAGGAGAGTAAGGTATTCTTCCTGGCTTTGCATGTTCATTCAGCCTTAAAAAGCTTAGGCCAACAAAGAAGTCCAGGTTTATGTGTTGTGTGGTGCTGTGGTGCTCACTTCCCAGTGCTGAAGGCTCCCTCTTACTAGGTTTCTCCTCCTCCCATCAGTGTTCTTACCAGCTCAGGTGCCAGGCTGTGGGCTCTGGAAGTGATGATTGAGCTTCCCTCACAACCCTTAGGAAAACGTGACCCCAAACTAAGCATTACCAATGCACAGCTTTGCTCATCAAGGCATATCAGGCTGTCAGGCATGTCAGACAATATCCTTAAGATTCTTGCCACTGAAACTTCTTGTGAATTTTAGCTTATTTTTCCTGCTTCCAACTTGCTCTGGAAAGAACTGGGGTCTGTGACTCAGGAGTCCTATGCTCTAGTCTCACAGCCCCGGTTGCCAGCTGTGTTTACTTATGGGTCAGTTCTTCAAGGAAATGTATGAACTGGACTGTTGGATTCCAACAGGGTAGAGGAGGCTGGAGGGACACGAAAGTGGTTGTGTAATTCAGGCAGCACTCAGTTATCGGCACTAATGATGGAAAGAGACACTGGGTCATCAAAATGATGAATAATCAATAATCCAGAACAACGGATATTATTTGCTAGGAGACAACATGATTTTTGGCAGCTGAGTTGTTTTCTTAAAGATCTACTTACAGAAAACAGCCACATGAAAAAAAGACCTTTCCAGATTTAAAACTGACCATACAATACACATGCAGAAAAAAAGTGAGAACTGGCTGTGTGGGGAAGACATGGAAGAAGTTAGAGCTGCTCCATCAAAAACGATGAGTTTGTGCCCTTTGTAGGGACATGGATGAACCTGGAAACCATCATTCTCAACAAACTGACACAAATGCAGAAGATCAAATACCACATGTTCTCACTCATAGGCGGGTGTTGAACAATGAGAACACATGGACACAGGGAGGGGAGCACTACACAATGGGGTCTGTTGGGGGGAAATAGGGGAGGGTCAGTGGGGGGTGGGGCGTTGGGGAGAGATAGCATGGGGAGAAATGCCAGATATAGGTGATGGGGAGGAAGGCAGCAAATCACACTGCCACATGTGTACCTATGCAACAATCTTGTATGTTCTTCACATGTGCCCCAAAACCTAAAATGTAATAAAATAAAATAAAAAGAAGTTAGAGCTGCTAAGTGAGATGCTAGTTAAATAAATATATAAATAAATAAATAAAATTTTTAAATTAAATTAAAAAAAAAAAAAGAAGAGCTCAGAGGGACCTATGACATCATTTCCCCCATTTTACAGATAAGGAACTAAGGTCCAGGGAAGTGAAGAGATTGCCTACTATCACATAATCATCTGGTGGAGAAGCCAGAACTGGACCTGGGTTATCTTAACAGGGTGGTGTTCACTTGACCACAGTAGTACAAGGGCTTCACCTGAAAAAGAACCATCAACCTAAGCATGTGATGCTGACCTCCTGGCAGTGGCTGCTTCTGTAATCACATAATCTCCCAACACACAAGTTACCTCATGTGTTCCTGCACCCTGATGTCACAGCTGCCACTGAACAGCCCTGGGCCAAGTACCAAGATGATTCATAAATCACTGCCCAATTATTTAAAACCACAGCATAGTCTTTGTCAACAATACCTTATGTGATTCAAATCAGCAGCTGTTATCAATTTCATCAAGTTCAAGTACAATCTTACTTCTTAGTATCTGGGTGGCCCTTTTGATTTTTTTCAAAAATTCCTTGATAGCTTATACCTTATTTTATGTTCACCAAACCCATGGGTCAAAGGTAGAGGAGTGATTGGGATGTCTAGCTCATATATTTCCTTGAAGAACTAACCCATAAGTAAACATAGCTGGCAACCGGGGCTATGAGACCATAGCAGAGGACTCTTGAGTCACAGACCCCAGTTCTCTCCAGAGCAAGTTGGAAGCAGGAAAAATAAGCTAAAATTCACAAGAAGTTTCAGGGGCTAGAACCTTAAGGATATTGTTTGTTAACCTTCAGACATATAGAAGACACTGGGGTTTGTGGCAAATTACTCAGCAACACACTTCAATAACATTTCCTTTTTGCTTTTTCTTTGCTTTTTCATTAAAACATAACTTGCACAAAGTATACACATCCTAAGGGAACAGCTGGGTGAATTTCTGCATATGTTATACACTAATGTAATCACAAAACCAAGATTTAGAACATTTATAGCTACCTAGAAGGCTCCCTCATGCCCCCTTCCAGTCAAGAATAGCTATTATTTAGGGACATAATGTATGTATTTCATACATTAGGTTTGTTTGGTCATGTAAATGGGAGAATACGATAGTATTCTCTTAGGTTTTGCTTCTTTTCTCAATCTTCCAAGATTCTTCTATGCTATTAGTGTGTCAATAGTGTGCTCTTTATCTTTTCTGTATAACATTCTGTGGCATTGATATACAATGGATTTATCCATTCTACTGTTGTTGGAAACAACATTTTGGTTGCTTCCAGGTTGGGACTGTTATGAATAAAGCTGATATGAGCTCTTGTACGTTTTTGGTTTTGAGATGGAGTTCAAATCTATTGGATATATCCAGGCATAGAATTATGGGTTCATAGAGTATATATAATAGATATCATGGAAATTCTTTCTAAAGTGCTTATATAAACATACACTACCACCAGCAAAGTAGGTTCCAGGAGCTCCATAGTCTCACCAAAACTTGATATTATTGGTAAATATTCCTTTTAAAAGTATCACTGGGAAACATAGTACCCCACATATATATCCAGATAACTGACATTAGTCTTTAAGCGTTTTTTTTAATCTAACAATTATAATTCTTGAAGATAGTAAATCACCTAATCATTGCAGACTACAATGAGATGTCCAGAGAGCTCTGAATATATATTTAACATATTCAGAGAAATATTAAATATCTAGGGATTTCACTGTCTCCTCCTTCATGGATACTTCATGTTGATCACTAAGGTATCAGCAGCCCAGAGTACCTCCCTCTGATCTCTGTCCTGGATAATATTAAAGATGGTCCAATGGGAAACTTTAATTCACACACTATCATAAGCCAATAAGCTCTAGTCAAATGGGCTTTCCACTAGAAAAGCTATTTCTATGTCTTGAATGGTAAAAGTTGTCCCCAAAATAGGTAAGTGAGTTGTTACTCATTTCATTTGTTTTTATGTGGCTTGGCAAATGTTAATCAGTTATCAAACAACACACATTTATAAAGCACATATTCTGTTACTGAGCTAGACATTCTGAAGTGCCTTGGGTGGGGGGGGGGGGTAGGGCTCCAGGTCCCATCACATGGAATGCTGTCATCTGCCTTCTTTTTCTCACTTTACCCATCCAACCCCTTTCACAGATGAAATGAGGCTAAAACAAACATCAATGATAACCTTGGCTTTAGAGAGGAAAGCAAGTCCTAAAAGAGGTTTCCTGGGGAATGAAAACAGAAGAGGGGAGAACAGCTCTGCCCATAGGGCCATGGTGATAAAGTAAATGGATGATTGAAGGTGAAGTGATTATTACAACCTCTGCTCTTCTTTACAGCAGAGGACCAAGCTCTACCCTATCCTTTATCTAACGTTCACTCATCACAACCTTCCTTCCTTGCTACTACATGTTGGTGTCATTGTCCAGGTGACTGAAGTAGAGCATCACATCTCATACCTAACCACCAAGTATAGTGCCTAAGACAAGACATATTCCCTGACCTTACAGAACATACCAACCTTAAGGAATATATCTCTAGTTAGGTGGGTAAAGTGAGAAGGGGCTCTGTTCTACATGCAGGGTACAATCTAGAGTAGGAGTCACTGTGGACAGGTGACTTGAGTTAATCCTTAAAGCAGACAGGACTTAAGGCAGAGCAGTGAAGCAGACTTGGAGAGTGCTCTGCCCGCTAGCAGAGCAGAAGACAAGAGTAAGAAGAAACATGGGACCCTTGGGATCTGTGAATAGACAGCACAAGCCTGTCTAAGTGGCTTTCCATGCTATGATGCTGGGGCACCATTCTGCTAATGTTCCTGAATATGGCTGACCTCCCTCAAACAAAAGCTGCCTGAGCACAATGACTGTGACTTTTAGGAATTTTCTAAGGAACACTCAAACATGAGCATGCCGGATATGGCTGTACACAGTTTTGCTCGTAAACCTCTATGCCCTCAATTTCACAATTCATAGTTTCTGCTTGGCTCTCTAGACGTCAAATGCAAAGGTCTGAGAACAACTCCATGGTTTTCTGAGTTGGAAAGCTGCTTCTATCCCGGTACAGAGGTATAACCAAAGCCAACAGCACAGCTAACCTAGGGGACAGGCAACAGGCACAAAACATTTAGAACAATGAGGTAACTCTAGACCACAGAACTCTTCAGGACCAGTTGTAAAGGACAGAGTGAGCATCTGAGAAGGAGGCAAGTCAGAACACCTCAGCACCATAACAGAACCACCCACATGAAGTTCTTGGATTACAGTGCTCCCCTGCAGAAAGCTCACTTCTCCAAACAGCTTTTGGGGCCTAAATCAAGGTTTTTCAGGGCTTTGTAGTCTTATTCCATCATGAAGGACCTTCACTTTTTGTTACTTGGTTTAAATTTTCATTCTGTTTTCCTGCTTCCCTGTATTGTCAACTCAGAGGGAACACTTGCTCTCTGGATGGGGCAGAAGTATAACTACCACTTTTGAATTGCCAACAAGTAAAATGGCATTGAGCTGAGACTTCCATTCTTAGCCCAAAAGTTTATTTCCCCTCAAGCTTCTATGTTTGCTATCTAAATAGTCTCTATGGGAAACCCATCTTTTTCAGGTCCAGCTATCTCTTAATATATAAAAAGTGGCAATTGGAGAGAGGGGTGAGGAATGGCCACCACATTGGTTGAAAGAATCTATGTCTCAACATCCCAGTCTTCTGGCTTTCTTTGTTCATAAACTGATCTTATTCCACTGATAAACATGACTATAGTAATAATGGATTAACTTGAGAAAAGTTAGTGTGACATGTCAGCAAGTGCTTCTTGAGGGTGGGGAGTTGGCCTTAGTCATTGCTAGCACCTACCTAGATACACCTGCCACACATGAAAGTACTTAATAAATATTGAGGGAATACATGAATGAAGAAAGGCAGTAACTGAGTAACTTAAAACATACTGTACACAGCAAGGACATAAATTCTTAAGAGACACAAAATAATGAAGAGGTTTAGCTTCTAAAACTGTGGAATAAGCATAATAAAGTAAATGAAGCATAAGAGAAAGAAAAAAAATAAGGAGACATGGATCAACCAAAAAGTGTAACACACTGCCAAAAAGACTGTGTGATAGTAACAACTGCTGTCCTCAATTAGCTAAAGGACTTCAAGTAGAAATGAAATTGTATAACTTTGCATTACTCTAGAGGGTTGAACTAAGATCAACACACCTAGATTAGACAAAGTCAGATTTCAATTACATAAAATAATTTACTAACAACTAGATCTGCCCAACAATAAAATTAGCTGTCTCATGGAGTCATAAGCACTTTGTCACTGAAGACATGAATCACTATCACTCAGAGATCATCTAGAGGCAATTTCTCCCTCAAGTGGAAAGTTAGACTAAATGGACTCAAAGATGTCTTTCATAACTAAGTTTCTACTAATCTAGAACTCTTTGGTCAAAAGTGGGTAATATCAAGCAAAGCGGTCTTCCTGACAGAGGGAAGTTTGAGGTCAGATTGAGAAGGAGGTAACAAAGCATGGTAAATTAGTGTTTAGAAACATAAGTACATATTGGAGTGTAAGGTGTGGAAACCTCACTAAGGGGAGGAGGATTAGAAAAAAAACCACTCTGTATAACTTGTCTCGGGGACACTTTAAGGTCCAAAGATATTATTCTATTATTATTCTATTTAGAGCAAATTGGAGCATTCCTAAACTAGTAGATAATCCTAACTTAAATCAGATTGAAATGGGAAAATCTTATCAGATATTTAACCAGTTGAAGCAATATGGAGAGGCCATAGAGTTGCAAATTAAAGGAAGCCAATAACAAAGCAAGTTTAGTCTACAAATCTGCAACCAATATGAAACTTGTGAAGGGTGATCTCTGAGCTGCCTCGCCACAAAAGAACCCATCCTGTCATTCTTGGGCTCCTGTCATTATCAAACCAGGGGTCATTATTTTATGAATCCCATATTGTAGTTGAGCCAGACAGACAACAGCACCTTCTTTCATTCCACTTGGATAATGGCCAAATACAAGTCATTTTACTACAACTTAAAGAGTACTGTGCCCATCTGTTCACAATCGATGGGAATAATTGAGGGGTAGAATGTGCCAGGCACTCTTGGACAATCCTACAGAAGTGGGCTAGGGGCTTTCTTGGCCATTTGCCATGTGACAATGATTCCCTCATCTGTGAACATATGGAGTAGATGAAACTCACTTGGAGAGCATGATACAGCAGAGTTTGGACCATTCCATTTCCACAAGAAACTGTATATGAGTTATAGCAAGGAAATAGCCTTTACATCTTGTGTTACATCATGAGAAATTCTTCCAAGCTTACGACTGTGTAATTTCTCTTAAGAGAATCTGGCCTTGTGCCCCAAATCAGAAAGAAGTTGCAATTGGTTGTCATCCCTGTCCATCATGTTGGATTTAAAACATGGAGGCAAATCACCCCAAAGGAGAAGGGTAGCCAGAGGATGTCCTGAGACCACGTACAAACCTCCATTTTCCACCTCTCAAGGTGCAGCAGTGATGGGGAGCAGGAAGGAGCCTCAAATATTTGCTCAGACTTTGCAAAAATTTCAGTGACTGAAGGAAAGAAATCTCACCAACAGTAGTTGAGAAAACAGTTGAGGTAACACTGTTGTACAGGTATTTCCTAACATAATTTTGAGGAAAAAAATAAAGAAATTCTACTGAAAAATCCTTCTGATTGATATACATCTTTCCAAGTTTGGAAATTTTCATTCACGAATAATTTTTTTTAATAGAAAGAAAAAAAAACAGAATCCTTAATTTGAGGACTGGCGAAAGCAAGGAACTCTCTCCCAATTAGTCAGACATTCACAAACCGTGATTCTCTTCTATTCAACATTTCTGTATATCAAGGCAAACCATGAAGGCAAAAGAGACGTTGCTAAAAGGCAACCTAGAGTCAGAAGGAAATGTTAGTAGATAAGCTGTCGAGATTTGGGGGTACAAGCTGGTAGAGTCATCTCCTTTTCCTCCAAACCTTCCTCAGAGTCGGAAGGCAAACCAAGATGCAACCTCTAATTCACCGGACCACTCCTGCTCAAAGCAGAAACACCTAATCAGGACAGCCCACTTCTAATTAAGCAGAGCAGCTGATGGCCTAACTCTGAGTCATCCAGGCTCTGGACAATTCCCCTTTACTCCTAAGTATTTCCCTGCTGCTCACAGGGGAATCAAAGACAAGGCATAAAGGAAATTCACCCCAAGTCATTTTGCTTTTTGTGGGCAGTTGTGTTGAAACAATTTCTAGGAAAGGAGGATTATGCTATAAGTTAAAATGAGGTGTTTGTGTTTCCTCTGGACTTCCCCCAGACTCCCTCAAACGTCCAGGAATAAGGAAAAGTGGGCCTGCACTGCCAGACACAGCACCACAGCCCCGCGCCCACCACATCATAGCTTCCTCTCGTCTGCATGACAGCTCAAGGTCACTAGCTCCTGGAGGCTTGATCTTTCACTACACTGCCTCTGATCCTGGTCTACCTCCTCCCTTCAAACTGTCTTGTATCATGATATCAGTACTTTGAGTCATTTCATGTGTAGTTGTCGGTTCTCATGATTAGAAACTGACAACATGAGAGAACAGAGTAGGAAACTTGAAATCCAAGGTCCTAGATTCAAGGCTTGCTGCTAGGAAGTCATGGGCAAATCTCTTCACCTTTCTGAGATTCAGTTTCCTCATCTGTAAAAGTGTTATGGTAATCCTTGCTTTATTCTTGCTTTACCTATTCAGAAAGCTACTGTGGATTTCAAATGAGATAACCCATGTGAAACCTATTTCTGTTGCTGGTACAGAGGCCACATCTCTTCCTTATACTTCAGGTTCTGAACTAGGGTTGTGCCCCCTCTGCAGGCTCAGCAAGATCTGGTTTAAGTGTCACTGAATGCCTTGTCCCTACAATGTTAAACACCAATCCTCTCCCAAGCATTATCATATATAGGTATACCTCAGAGATACTGAGGGTTTGTTCCAGACCACTACATTAAAGTGAGTCACATGAATTTTTTGTTTGCCAAGGGCATATAAAGTTATGTTCACATTATGTTGTAGTCTATTAAGTGTATAATAGCATGTCTAAAAAACAATGTATAAATTTCAATTAAAATATTTTATTGCTAAAAAATACTAACAGTCATCTGAATCCTCAGCAATTCATAATCTTTTTGCTGGTGGAGGGTCTTGCCTCAATATGGATGGCTGCTAGAAATCAGGATAGTGGTTGCTGAAGGTGGGGGTGCCTGTGGCAATTTATTAAAATAAGACAACAATGATGTTTACCACATTGACTCTTCCTTCCATTAAAGATTTCTCTATGGCATGTGATGCAGTATGATCGCATTTTTCTCACAGTAGAAATTCTTTCAAAACCAGCTGCTGCTTTATCAACCAAGTTTACAGAAATCTTTTGTCATTTCAACAATGTTCATAGCATCTTCACCAGAAGTCAATTCCATCTCAAGAAACCACTTTGCTCATCATAAGAAGCAGCTCCTCATCCATTCAATTTTCATCATGAGATTGCAACAATTCAGTGACATCTTCAAGTTCCACTTTTAATTCTAGTTTTCTTGCTATTTCTACCACATCTGTGGTTACTTCTGCCACTGAAACCTTGAACCCTTTAAAGTCATCCATGGGGGATGGAATCAACTTCTTCCAAACTCCCATTAATGCTGGTATTTTGACCTCCTCCCACAAATCACAAATGTTCTTAAGGCATCTACAATGATGAATCCTTTTCAGATTTTCAATTTACTTTGCCTAGATCTATCAGAGGAATCATTGTCTATTGCTGCAATAGCCTTATGAAATGTATTTCTTAAATAGTAAGACTTGAAAGTCAAAATCAGTCCTTGATCCATAAACTACAGAATGGATATTGCATTAGCAGGCATGAAAGCAACATTTATCTCTTTGTACGTCTCTATCAGAGCTCTTGGGTGACCAGGTATATCGTCAATGAGCAGTAATATTTTGAAAAGGATCTCTTTTTCTGAGCAGTAGGTCTCAACAGTGGGCTTAAAATATTCAGTACGCCATACTATAAACAGATGTACTATCATCCAGGCTTTGTTGGATTCAGAATTTGGGGGAATGGTAAATGAGCATTGGGTTCATAAAGTCACAAGCTACAATAGCATCTAACAAGGGAGTCAAGCTGTCCTTTCAGGACAGACACTGATTTCGCTTCTTCCAACAGAAGGCTATTTCATCTACATTGAAAATCTGTTGTTTAGTGTAGTCTTCTACATCAATTATCCTCTAGATAACTTGCTGCAGGTTGTACATCAGCACTTGCTGCTTCATCTTGCATTTTTACGTTATGAAGACTGCTTCTTTCTATGAACCAAACTCTCATGAACCGAACTCTGCTAGCTTCAAACTTTTCTTCTGCAGCTTCTACCCCTGTCTCAGCTTTCACAGAATTGAAAAGGTTAGCACCTTGCTGTGGATTAGGCTTTGGTTTAAAGGAATGTTGTTGCTGACTTGATCTTCTAACCAGGTCACTAAAACTTTGTATCAGCAACAAAGTTGTTTCCCTTTGTTATCATGTGTGTGTTCATTAAAATAGCAATTTTAATTTCTTTCAAGAATTTTTCCTTTGCATTCACAACTTGGCTAACAGTTTGACACAAGAGCCCTAGCTTTCAGCCTATCTTGGCTTTTAAAATGCCTTCCTCACTAAGCTTCATCATTTCTAGCTTTGATTTATAGTGAGGGATATGTGATTCTTCCTTTCACTTGAACACTTAGAGGCCACTGTAGGATTATTAATTGGCCTAATTTCAGTATTATTGTGTCTCATGGAATAGAGAGGCCTGAAAGGAGATGGAGAGACAAGACAATAGCTGGTCGGTGGAGCAGTTAGAACACACACAATTATTAAGCTTGCAGTTTTATATGGGCATGGTTTGTGGTGCCCCCAAACAATCACAATAGTAACATCAAAGAGCACTGATCACAGGTCATCATAATAGATATAATAATAATGAAAAGTTTGTAATAGTGTGAAAATTACCAAAATGTGACACAGAGACATAAAGTGAGCACATGCTGTAGGATAAATGGTATTGATAGACTTGCTCAATGCAGGGTTGCCAAAAAACTTCAATTTGCAAAACATGCAATATCTGTTAAGTGAAATAAAGTAAAGTACAATAAAGTGAAGGATACCTGTATACTCAGAAGTCAAGCTTCCATGCATATCATTATAAAAATCCCCACCAAGAAGGCTCCGGCAGCCTGGCCTTCTGCACCCCCACATATGAGACAGGAGAGCAGATCAGGACCTCAGAGTCTGCTGAAGGACACAATCACAGCAGCAGAGTGGTACTGAGCCTCCACCAGCACTGCAGGCTATACTGGTACATCTAGCTCCACTGCCCAGAAAGCAAGTATCTTCCATGACAGCCAGGAATTTTTTCTCTTTCTCTTTAGTACCATCACCTGCAGAACTTCCATCACAACCACTGCAGCCAAACTCCCTGGCACTACTCATCTCACCATTTGGCAAGTTAAAAGCCCAGAATTATCTCACTGCGACTTGTTTGTAGAGTCATAACTAAAAACTCTGATTGCCCAACAGAAAGCACCTGGGAGACCAAAGGGATAAGAATGCTATGTGACAACTGAAGCCACTAATTGCCCACCTTCCCTGCAGCAATGTGCTGACAGTATTCTGTCTTTTTTTCTGAGTGTCTGTTAACAGGTCTGCCTGTGATTAGGAGAAGCACTTATACTGAGTCACCCTGCATCTTCAACAGCTGACACCTATAAGCAGTTCCTTTGTTTACAACAAAGCAAATTCAGTAATTAATGGCCTTATGGAGAATTCCAATCCACAGCCTCTTTCAACAGGGTTCCAAAAGCATCCCCAAACTGTAAAATTGCTTCTTCAAGTAGAAATAAATCACCACTTCTTGTATTTTATCATACAACCAGGTGCCATGGGCCCCAGAGTCAATCCTTCCCTAATGGTCTGATAAAGGAGATAAGAAATAGCTGAGTACTCATAAGCGACTCGTGCAATATTTTACAAATATGAGAAATAAATAACACAGTTCTGTGAACATGGCAATGATATCCCTTGAAAAACTTAAAATGCCCTCTCCCAATTTCTATCATATTTTAAATATCTAACTCAAACTTGGCTTCTTCCATGAGGTAGGTTTTCTCTGATTACCCTAGCCTAGAAAAATTTATTCATTCAACATTTCTTTATTGAACATCTATTGTTTACCAGACATTGTGCTAGATTCTGGAGATAGAAAATATAAACATTCAAAACCTCTATCTGGTGGTTACATTCTCTAGTCTACTAATAGAAGTACTGTTTATACTCCTGCATCTTTCACAGATAACATTTCCTGGAATTCATACTACTCTTCACTTTACAAAATAATTATTAACATGTCTTTTTAAGCAGCCTAGGACAAAAGCATTTCTGACTTTTTTTTGAGATGGAGTCTCAACTCTGCTGCCCAGGCTGTGGCGTGATCTCAGCTCACTGCAACCTCTGCCTCCCGGGTTCAAGTGATTCCCATGGCCTCCCAAGTAGCTGGGACTGCAGGGTGCACCACCATACCCGGCTAATTTTTTACTTTTGTTTTTGTTTTTGTTTTTAAGTAGTGATGGGGTTTTACCATGTTGGCCAGGCTGATCTTGACCTCCTGACCTCAAGTGATCCACCCACCTCGGCATCCCAAAGTGCGGATAACAGGCACATTTCTGATTTCTTTTATATTCTGCTAAGAGAAGGTGCTGCATAAACATACATTGAATGAATAGTTAGCTAATTATGTGAATATGTATTATATATCTATATATTTAATACATAATACATATTAAGTATATATAATAATAGCTATATTAACTACATGTTATAGATTTAATTTCCCTATCTGGATTGTAAGTTTCTTCAAAGGCAGGGATTCTTCTGTTCACATTTCTGTATCTTCTAGAGCATCAGCACAGTTCTAGGCACATAGCTCATTCTCAGTACATAATTAGTTAAATTCAGTAATTCTGCTAGAAATGGGATTTCTTATTCTACATTTATACCATTAATCACACTCTAGATTTAGGAAATGGGAAGTCTTAGGCAAAGGAAAATAATACGATCAGTCCTAAGTGACAGTCCCCTCAACATGCTGGCTAAGCTTTCTCTCTGACCAAAGTACTGTGTTTCTGAGAGAAGAATAAAGTCATATTTCATCTGTGAGGATTTACCTAAACCACCTGTGAACTGCAAGAAGCAAAGAAGAATGGAATTAGAACAGCAAGCCTGACTTTGGACAGCAAGACCGCCCATGGAAACATCCATCATGTGGCCCACACTGGATCTTCCTGCCAAAGGACCATGAACCCAGGATTCAAAGCCCCCTGCCCTGTCGGGGGAATGGCTACAGCCCAAACAAGTCCAGGAAAGCCCAGGTATCCTCATCACCCCATGTACCCACACTGCTATGTTTGGTTTCAGCCTCTTGAAATCCATCTCCTAAAATAGCCAGCTTTGCTCTGTTAAACCACAACTAAGAAAGTCAACTGGGGCTGACCTCTGTGGGGAGACAGGCCAATATCCTCTACTACCCTAGGTAAGATCAGGTGGATTGATGTTGTTCTCTCAATCCCCAAGGTGCGAGCACATCATTAGCATTGGTAAAGCATACCCAACCAGCAGCCCAGGAATGGCATAAGGACATCCATGTGTTACCCCCAAAGGCATTAACCTGAATCACAACATTCTAAGTTCTAGACACCTCAAAAGCTACCTCGGGGTTTGCCACCTGATAATTCAGAGGACTTACCCTGAAGCCCATCCTCCCTACTCTTCAAATTAGAAAGTACCCCAGGACCTCCAAAATCAACATTAAATGACCAAAAATTAGATATCCTTTTCTATTCCAGACACAATGCTAGACCATGCTTCAATCCTACCAGATCTGAACGATCTGATCCCTGCTCATGTTCGGACAGCCTGGAAGTAGTCCTGCCTCCTCCCCCATCCTTGCAATCTGAGACAGATCCTGAGGAAGCTGCTCTTGGAAGCCAGCAATGGCATTTAGTCATGCAAAGCAGTGAGCTGACTTCATTTTCCTCAATAAATATTTCATTGAGATTCAGAGAAATAACAGAAACCTTATTCATGAGATTTATGTTTGTCTTAATGATTCACAGCATAATTTGTTCCAATTAAATATTTATTTTAATATCTTCTTGGGTCTGAAAACTTCTGTCCCTTCATCAGTGAGTCTTTGTACCATCAGTCCCCTCATAGATGTGAAGACATTAGGAACAGTTTCATTCTTCTCTAAAGTCTGAGTTTTTCCTTTCCAGCTCCCTCTTAATGAGGAGCCTGCACCACATCTGTGCCACAGTTGCACTGTCTCTGACACATCCCCCAGGGTCCTGTCAGTCAGCTTCCACTTCCTGCTGCCTCTCGCCTTGCAGGTCTCAACCCTATACACATTCTTAAAAGGCTTACCTGCTCAACTTCCTCTCCTACCTCTCCCAGCCACAGACCCAGAGACACCCTCTTTAAAACAAGGCGGGGGTTGAGGGGAGAAAGACAGCTGGGCTCTCATTACAGTATGATGAAAAGGAGACCGGAATGGGAACAAAGAGCTTAGAGTTCAAGTTCCAATGTCACTAGTCCATGGACATACAGTCTTAAGACAGTCACTTATCTGGCCACGTCCTACTTGTAAAATAAGGATACATATACTGTTAAAAGACTCAAGTGAGATAGATGGTGGACATGCTTTATAAACTGTAAAGAATGACAAGTACCTCCCAGAGTTGTGACAATTAAATGAGAAGATGGATTTCCAGTGTTAGAACAAATCTGGCATAGAATAAACGTTCAAGTAAAACATCGTTATAAAAATATGAGAAATGAAATATGTTTACTTTTTTTAGAGTGCAAGGACTATTTAAGCCTCACTGCCTGGCATTAACATGTGGCCTAAGGGAACACGTCCCATTACTCGCATAGAGAGACGCACAGAAGTCTTGGGACTCTCCAGAGCCCATGTGAAGGACAGAGGGTTTCTGTGGATGCAAGGAAGTGTCTCCTGCAATTCCATGGAATGCTTCTGGAGGCTGGAAAGTTGTACTTTTAAAATGTTCACATTTACATACATCATTGCAGTCTTCTGCAGAAACCCTCTCTCCCACAGAGATGGCATAATCCTAACTCAGTTGCTAAAGATTCCTTAGATCCTAAGAAAAGCATTCCCTGTTTATTTCA